AGTTGTTTGAAGATGTGCCATTCTCACTGGGGTGAGGTGGTATCTCATTGTGGTTTTAATTTGCATCTCCCTTATTACGAGTGATGTTGAACACAAAATAGAGAATTTTTATCCATGGGTATATTTGAAATTATCATCTACTGCTTACTTGATGAAGCTACTTTCTTCAGAAGCCTCCCAATTCCTTCAAACATTATCAAATACTGCCCAACATGTAAAATACAAATATGCATAGTAGTTGAACAAATGGAATCACAATTAGATTTCATGACCTACATTGCTAATTTCATAGCTCTATTTCATAGCTCTATATCCATATCTCTGTATGTTCCTGATGGTGATGACCAGTTTGGCCTCAGAATAGAGATAAACCATTCTGTCTCTTCTATAGTAGTGACACGTATGAGACATTCTGAAGGAAGGTGGATGGTGAGGGAAGGTGGACCAAGGATCATTCCCAGGCTTTTTGATATATTGTCCAAACTAAAGGATGAAAGACCATACACTAAATAGAAGAGAATCAAACAGAAAACCAGAGTTTGAGATCTTGATTCTGATATGCCAATAAAACAGTCTGAAATTCCATGAAATCACAATGGAAAAGAAGATCGGATGATTCCATCCATGCACAGAGTGATTTAAATCAGAAGCATGCTGTGATCATTTGGGAGCTGGTATGAATGCAGAGAAGGATATCAGGGTTGGAACCTGAAACATACCAACATATAAGCAGCAGGCAGAGAATAAGCTCAAAAAGGTGATGAGGGGGCCCTCCCTTGTGGCACAGCAGGTTAAAGCACTGCACTAAGAAGCTAAAGCCACTTCCGCATGAGTTCGATTCCCGCCTGCCCTGGAGATGACCACATGGCGTGGCAGACCTCTCCTGACCCGCCTGCTGCTCCCCTCAGTACTTCGTCGATCTGCCTGTTCTGCTCCCCACTCTGTCTCTGGTGAAGCCTCTCGCCGCCCCTGAGCCTCTGGCCTGTACCCCAGCTCTGTATGCACAAATAAATAAATCTTTAAAAAAAAAAAAAAGGTGATGAGGAAGGAAGTCAGGGAAAGGGGGAGAGTGAAGAGATCTCTACTGAATCTAAGCAAAGAGAAGGCTTCAGGGATCAGTGTTGAATGGAGCTGAACAAATACATAGTTTTGCAACATGATGTTTCCAGTGATAAGCAAGAAAGAGGATTTCAGCTTTCAGTCATTTTTTCATCTCAACTATTTTCAGGCTAATTTAAAAAAAAAATTCTTATTCATACTGAACTCGGGCACAGGCCAGAGGTGCAGGGGCAGTGAGAGGATTCACCAGAGACAGAGTGGGGAGCAGAACAGGCTGATAGACCAAATGCACTGCTGAGGGGAGCAACAGGAGAGACAGGAGAGGTCTGCTGCGCTAGGTTGGTCACCTTAGGGACTGGGAATGGAACTCACACTGAAGCAGCTGTGGCCAGCTTATAGTGCTGTGTCCTACTCTGTTGTGCCACCATGGAGGGCCCTCAGGCTAATTTTTAAAATTAATCTTTAGAAGGTAACTATGGATCACTTTGCTAGGGCTGTTACAACTGATTACCACAGAGAAGTCAGCTTTTAAAACATCAGAAATGTACCCTTTTCATAGTTCCATAGTTCAGGAGTATGGAACCCAGATATTGGCAGGGTGAGTTCCTTCTTGGGGGTTCAGTGGAAGAATCTGTTCTGTTTGCTTCTCCTAGTTTCTTTTGGTGGCAAACCATCCTTGTCATCCATGGCCTAAAGCAGAATGGCTCCAATCTTTGTCTAAGAAGGCACATGATTTTCTTCCTGAGTGTCTGTGTCCAAATTTCCCTCCTTTTGTAAGGACAGCAATCATTGGGTGGATCCACTATGATCTCAGTTTAACAGGATGACATTTGTAGTTCCCCAATAAGATTGGAGTCTTGGGTGACCATGCATTTTTGGAGGATATTATTCAACCTGGTACAGAATCTGAATGGGACGACCATCTACTTAGCAATGCAATACCAGCCAGACTCCAGAAAAAGGGAGAAACTATATGAAGAATGATGCACCAAATAAATGGATTCAGAGTGGACAACAATTTTTTTCACTTCAGTTTCTTTCCATTTGTAGAATTAAGCCTCATTTTGTAGAAATTATTCATACTGAATATTTTTTATTTGCCATCTCATCTGCTATAAGAAAGTCACTTCTAAGCTTCTTCTTTCTAAAGAAGAAATTAAGAGGGTTTTTCACTCAGTGAAATACATACAGAATCAGAAATCCCTTCCACCCTCGGGAGCTGGTTTGACAGGGTTTCCATAGCCATGCAGATGGCTAAACTAATGGACCCTTTAAAACTCTTATAATGAGTAGGTGTGGCAAAGGATCAGAATCTATTTAAACAAAAGTATCTTTTCTTCATTATCATCAAATATTTACTATGCACCATGTTTTCTCCCACCATTAGGTAGGTACTTATGTATTTAAGCCAAGGTTTGTTTGTTTCCCCCACTAGGATGACTTTGGGGAGGATGGAAATATCTGGACAGGCATAAAAAGTCACAATTGGGGTAGATGGACATTATTTTGAGTCATCCAGTCAATAAATAGTAACTTGAAGGTGTGATTTATGGGCAGTTCATCTGGATGGCTCTTGATTCCAGGGTCCAGTGTTGTGTTAGGGGATTTTAAGGGTCCCACACTCGAACCAGACCAGGTTTAGCTGACAGGAATAAAGCCCCATGAAATTTCCTCCAAGCTGTCAGGCATCCAAGTCGCTTCTCCACTGAAGTCTTGGTGAGACTGCCACGAAAGAGACCTTTTTAGGGTGTTTTCCAAACAGCCGCAAGTAGATATGACTTCCGATAGTTTATCACATAGCTGTAAAAAGAGGGCAAAGATGTTGTAACGAGGCCTGTATTTAAGTATTTCAAAGACTGGATAGCATTTTTAAGAAGAAAGGCAAGTCATGAGAGGCCATCCGCTCATCTTAGCGAAAGAAATCTCCAGAACTACTACTGCAAGGAAACTTTGTGTGACAGGTCGTTTGTGAACAAGAAACAAGAGCCAGACTCCTACAAATCTGTCCAAGAAGGTTTCTATTGCTCTGAAATCCAGGTGAAAACACTACACTAAGTTTGGTCGGAGAGTCTGTCTTCTGCCCAGGAGCCTAAAGCTGCCGTCGGGGATGAGTGGACCAGCGGGCGTCGCTCACCGGTTTCCCTCAGCGTCCACCAGCCGACCGGCTGGTACAGGCAGCAGCAGCGCGACGCGGGGTGTGACACCTCGGACACCCGCAGCTTCCGATGTCTACTAGGCGCGCCAAGCCTTCCCCACTTGCCTTCGCTCGCGTCCCCGCCCGCCGCCCGGTCCCGAAGCCGCGCCTTAGGCGCAATCGCATCGACCCCCGTCGGGTCCTGTGCGCTTCCCAGGAGAATTCCTTTCGGAATTCCTGCGGGTCCCAGAAGGACCCAGAGTGCGCAGCCAGACGGGAAATTGCAAAAGTCCTCAGCCCTCTGCCCGCCCCCGGCTTTCCAGTAACTCCCGCCCCTGGGCGCTCGCCCCGCCGCTGATTCATAGCCTGGGCGCGGGCCGCCTCCGCGGGTCCACACCGGCGCCTGCGCCCCCGACCCCTGCGCCGCCGAGGACCGCGAGCCCAGCCGCCGCCGAAGCAGCCCCGCCGCCCCCTGCACCCCCAGCGCGGCCGATCCCGCCTTCCTCCGATGCGTTCCCGACGCGAGGACCTGGCGCGGCGCGGGGAGGAATCAGACCACTTGGCCGCAGCTCGCGGCCCGAGGCTTCCCGGCGCGCTCCCGCCCCTCCCGGGCGCCGCCCCTGACGCTTTGGCCCGGCTGGAGGTAGGTACTTCGAGGGGCACCGGATTCTGGCCCGCCTACCTGGTGAGTAAAGTTGAGTGAATTCCTTCCAGAAGGCACGCTGCGGGGCCCTCCCCGACGTGCCCCGCACCGTCCATCTTTCTCAAAAGGTCGAAGGACAGGAAGTTTGTTAATATTCCCACTTGATCCCCTTGTGCTCACATCCCGGCACACTGTCTTGGGAGCGCTTTGCTGTCCCCAGACTCCTGCCAACCCACCTCCAGACTCACCTCCACGGAACAGTGACTTTTCTAGGAGCTGTGACCTCCCGCCCCATTTATTCCCAGAAGTGGGAGGCACCGACAACGTGGGGACAGTCAGGAGTTAACTTTGTAGTCCTTTACAACCTCAGCGCTGGGCCTGGAACTGTAGGACACTCTGGGTGCGCCTGGAGATGCTACCTCGTTCGGGATTTACTTGCAAGTTTTAATATGAGCTCAGAGACCCTGGTGACTGAAGGACCCCAAAAGGTCATGGTGGCCAGGGTTTCCCAAATTGAGCTGTGCCTGAGTCAGTCCTGAAGCTCTTCAAAGTTCTGTGACGCCAATATCAGCCACCTCTTGAGGCGCTTCAGGGCACGCCCAGCTTGGCACCTCCTGACTGCTAGAGACGCTGGCAGCGGGACTGGCTGACTCTGGACTGCAAAGAGCCTCCTGTGGCTTACATCTTCATTCAGATGCTTCATTCCAATGCCTTCTGTTTTCCCAGCAAATGTGTGCCCAGGGCTTTGTATCAAAGGCCACCTTGGGAGAAAAGGGCTGGCTTTAGGGTTTCCAGCAGGATTTAAGCCATTTGGGGATGGGGGGGAGGAGGGGGGCGCTTACAGGGGTGCACTTGGTATTTCAGAATCTCTGATGTTTCTTACGACCCTGAGAAAGGAACGAGGCCAGGGAAATGAGTATGGTTTGGAAGAGGTCAACTTGATGATGACTTGACAAGAGGAAGGAGTGTTTTCCTTGTGGGAACTGGGCTGGGCAGGGTTGGCATGGGAGAAGGAAATGTTAGTGTTACCTTGCTCACAGGAACACCAGCAATGGCCCTCCCTTCCCTGGGGAAGGAAACTCCTTGATTTTTAAAATATATGTGACATGGAAAATAAAATAAAATAAAATACATGACCTTTATAAAGAAAAGCCATTTGTCCCTCGGGAGTAGCTTCCTTGTAGAGAGACTTGCTTTTCAGCAGCTCTGTCCTCGCCTTCACAGCTTCCTTCCAGCCTCAGAGGTCCTCCCAGGTCTGTACATATTCCCTTTTGCAATAGTTACATATTCTAATATAGGGTGGGGGAAGGAAAAGTATCAGTCCCTTCCTTTACTGATGGGATACTTGGGTTATTTGAAATTATATTAGAGCGAGCAGTTCTGTGGAGTAGAATCCTAAGAGGTGTTCTTAGCTTCAAGGTTTGCCCATTTTGCACTAAAAACATACCCGCTTTTCCTGTGCCTCACTGCCCCACCCCAAATATTAGTTTAACTCAGTTGGGGTGTTCTCTTTCCCTCCCCCTTCCTGTGCTCAGCTGGTACATGAGCGAAACCTGATATACTTTTGAATTTTGCCAGGTGCTGGTTACTTCTGCAATTTAATGTTTCTGAATATTAAAATATTAAATGGGTCATTGTGTTCTATGAATTACTTATCACAACCTTTGCTCATTTTCCTATTGAGTTGCCCTTTCTTTCTTTAACAAGCATGTGTTTATTTTTTAATTATATATATATATGTATGTATGTATAATATCTTTTTTCTTTTTTCACTTTGTACATTTTTTCATGTGGTTGTAATTCCTGTGGACTTCCCACCACCAATTCACCAATGTGCCATTTCCATAGTCCGGTGTGAGTTGTGCTTTCTTACTCCTACTTACTGCAGAAGCTTTACACATATTATTCAGGATCTTAATCCTTTGGCTGTTACAAATGATGTGATTATTAATTAGTTCAGTACTTTTTCATTCCCCACTTTTTATAATATGGCAATATACACAAAATAAACTTTGCCATTTTAGCTATTTTTAAGCACCTAGGTCAGTGGTGTTCCATAGCTTGGTTCAAGGTGCACCACCAACACCCTCCATCCCCAGAACTCTTCAGCTTTTGAAATTGAAACTGAAGACTTCAAACACTAATCCCCC